CTTCATTACCCATTCAAGCCGTCTTCAGCCATTATTAGTCTCAAAGTGGGTTCCTCGTCATCGAATTTGAATTCATCGTAGCTATTGTAAGTTCTCTAGTCCAGAATTGTGTTCCTCATATAATTGCACTGACGGAAGACCGAGAAAGACATATCTCTGTATTCAGTTGTCACGAAACAGATGTTGTTTAGGAGACGTCGAACATCTCTCAAGGTGTGAAATTAACTTTCAACTTACTTGTGTAGAACTCGTTAATTAGGTTTAGGTCAGACAATTGAAAGATTTTCAGTGGTTTTATTGAACATCGGACAATATACAAGCAAGCAAGAAATGGAGTTTAAACTGCTGTAATAACAATTAAACAGAATGATGCAATACATGGTTATTTCTTTAGTCTATTTTCTGTTCTCCAAGATGGAAGCATTAAGAAAAAAAATATATATATATACTCCTCTACAAGCTACGTTAGTTTTTTTTTTACCACACAATCTACATACATTTGTTCTAAAATTTCCCCAAAAAATTCTAACAACAAATTTGACACTATTTCGATCCGAACGTAAGCCATTCACAAAACTCCAAACAGCTTCGTAGTCGACATGTATTACAGAACTAACTCTTGGAAATGATCATTCTTCTACCACTTCCGCTCTTATAAATTGGTAAACGTGTGTGACGAAGTTTCTAATCAAAATATTTAAATACTAATACCTCATATACATATCAAGGTAGTGAACCCGCGGGCAAACTAATGACATTTGCCTTTTTTATGTAAAATAAGAGCAAAAACACTTAAGACTAAAAAAAAAAAACAAAATCCTAGAAAGGAGAGGAGGTAGTTCACATCTCCATTCGGTAGTTCTATGCTACATTGTTATCATACAATTAGGTACAATCTGAGCTTTCAACTTCCAATCACAAAACGATTTTCTTTATTAGCTAACATCAACCGTTCTCGAACAGATTAGAAGTTAGAACATCTTCATTGTTTTCAGCTGTGACAAACTTTTTCTCTCTACCCTTTATGCTGGTTATAGACATTCATAACGAAACCGTTGTGGCCTAATTATAGTGACTACCAAAGTCCCACATTAGTTCCTTCCGGTGTATTTTTACTCTACGATATAATTCAGCTGTTGGTGTTGTGTCTATTTGCACGTGTGCCGATCCACGACCTTTGTGCACGTTTTACATTCCACATAGCAACACCAATGAAACTTACACTTGCATCTCTCTTTCAACACGGCCTTGTGTGTGTTGTATCCTCTACCACAACACATAAGGTTACAGCCATCTGTGCCCGGAGACGTACGGTTACACTCGCGACTGTAAGTGCCCAACGATCCGGTAGTGTGGTTATTAACACAATAGTCGGGGGACTCCTCCAGGTAGACCAGGTCCTCCGCTGTGGGAATGTTAAAATGAGGATTCTTTAACTGCAGCTTTCCCCGTCGGTTTATCCTCACCTCTGTGGCACCGTCGTACTTATCCTTGAGGTGATCCCCAACCTCGCGGAAAGTTGCTAGTTGTTGCCAGCACGTGACCAGAGAACAGGAACCGGAAACTCCGTGGCATTTGCACGTGACTCTTGTCTTCCGGATGACAGCCTGTGAAGAATTACAAAATGACTTAAAACATGATTTTATATTTTCATTAACACAAATCACAAGAGATAAATGATTAAGCTTCTCTTTTCAGGTAAGACTATACGTTCAAACTTAAGAATCCCCTTTAAAGGACACAAGTTTGATGTAACAAAAGAGTATTTAATGTCAAATATTGGACCAATAAGAGGACTCAAAATGCATTATGCTTTACAACATGCTGCTGATGAAATACTTTGTTTTCTGATTTCGGGATCTGATCACACTAACTAGATGGCGTGTCTCAATGAAGAATGCAAATACTTTTGTAATATTTCACGCCTACCTTTCTTGATGCGAGTTCCAGAACAAGTTTCCCCATTTTGGATGAAATATTTGGGACAATTTTGCTGTCTTACTACGACATCACGTCAATCTTGATATTCTAGAACAGTGCACGTACGGTACACCAACATTTTGAATGTGGGGTAAAGTTTCAACGGGTTTGATCATTTGTGACTTTGAACAAAAGGCAATCTGTTCTCGAAGTATTCTTTGTAATAAGCCAGATAAAAGCCAAGGTGATGGTAAATATTGCTAGTTTTGGTGTCTCATCTCATAGTTTTGAAATCGTTAAAGAAAGAAATTCAATGGACCAAGCCTGTTGGAGTTCACTATGTTGTATTTCATATCATAGATATATGAAAATATCTTGGGTCTTTGAAGATATTTCAGTTTTTCCCATATTTTAATCTAATTACTTGACACTTTAAGAGCTTAGTGAAACCCGGATCTACATGGGCTTGTACACGGGTTTAAGTTTAACTAGAATTCAGTCTTTTTTTTTTCCCACATGTATATATAATGTAATCCTGCCTACACTTGTGCTGTAGTATTAAAATTTTTCTGGCTGCTCCACTGGTTCAGTTTCTCTTGAGACAAAATAATCTCAACAAATCGATTAACGGAAGTTTTGCTAAAATAAAAAAAAAGTACTAAGCAAAATTTTCTAAACTTAGTGTATATATATGTGTGTGTTGTGTTATTTGTAATGTACTTATCAAAATACGTAAATCAAAACACGTTTACTAGCTATAAGGTTAATATTTTACATACGCTCAACATTCAGTGAAGATAATTAGGTTTAACTAGGGAACCAGAAGTAATCTAACCAAAACAAACTAATTAAGGCCTAGCGAGGACATGGAAAATTTGTAAAGTGTCTTAAAATGCCACATACTGGCGAGTTGCATTAGCTGGTAAACAGGATAACGCCTCTTCAGTACACGTAGGTATGATGACGTCAATCTTGTTCCATTATGAAAAACAAAAACTAATCACACCAGAAGGACAATTTGATTTTATGTGCTCACATTTTAGAAGAAATGAAAACCTTGTGACGTCAGACAATTTCGGAACAAATTATTTTGCACGATGTTTCGAAAAGGAAATTGATTCAACCTTCGAGCCAGTAAAAACGTCGTATTGAATTTAAAGACAAACAACTTTCTCGGGGACAGTCAAGTTCGAAAACGTCAGTGGATATTGTTAAGACAAACGTATTCATGAAAGCGCCACTCATAAAATAAATATAATGAAACAGAGGTTGAACCGTTATTGTTAAGACAAACGTATTCATGAAAGCGCCACTCATAAAAATAAATATAATGAAACAGAGGTTGAACCGTGGATATTGTTAAGATAAACGTATTCATGAAAGCGCCACTCATAAAAATAAATATAATGAAACAGAGGTTGAACTTGGATATCGTTACGGTTCAACCTCTGTTTCATTATATTTATTTTTATGAATGGCGCTTACTTGAATACGTTTGTCTCAACAATAGCGACGGTTCAACCTCTGTTTCATTATATTTATTTTTATGAATGACGCTTACATGAATACGTTTGTCTCGCTATTGTTGAGACAAACGTATTCATGTAAGCGCCACTCACCAAAATAAATATAATGAAACAGAGGTTGAACCGTCGCTATTGTTGAGACAAACGTATTCATGTAAGCGCCACTCACCAAAATAAGTATGATGATACAGAAAATTGGTAATAACAAGTTAAGTAGCCTTCTCTTTTGATCAATTTCTTAACCTTGACAGTACATTAATTTTAAATTTGAAAAAAAAAAAAACATCCTCATTTAATTTAGTTTTATCAAACGATTCATCACAACTTTTCACGTCGCGCCTACGTAATTTTGAGAGCACGTGACATTTCAAGGCTACTGTTCGTTACTAGTTTAATAATTTCATCATTTTCTCAATAATATAATTTCTATTTTTTAAAAATTCAAAAATAAATTAGGAGTTTCTGCCCACTTCACCAGTAATGTGATTAAACAGAAGAAAAAGATTAATTAAAAGTTACTTTGCTTCATTTCCCATCAAATTTCAACTTTGATGGTGCATAAAGTTTGGATTGTTTAATTTTATTCTCAATCAATTTATTTTTATCAATCGATTACGATGACCGTTTTTTGTTGTTGTTGTTAAGCCTATGTAATCTCTGAACAGAAAGAACGTTACATTAATCATTACTTACGTCGTTTGTCCTACATACTCTGGCAAAAATTGGATTTCTTTACGTAAATTTCAAATATAAAACAAATATTAAAAATTAAACGTAAATTAGGGGTCGTTGGTATTGTGATCCGTATAGCTAAATGAAGTAGTCTAAACTTGTTTTAAAATATATCCAACTAGTATCACTCTACTTGTTTGTGTACTTTTTATAAAATAATTTATTTTGTTTTGGATGCTTATTATCGCAATTGTATGAACGGCCCGGCATGGACATGTGGTTAGGGCACTCGACTCACAATCTGAGGGTCGCGGGTTCGAATACCCATCACACTAGACGTGCTCGCCCTTTCAGCCGGGAGGGCGTTATAATGTAACGGTCAATTCGTTGGTAAAAGAATAGCCCAAGATTTGTCGGTTGGTGGTGATGACTAGCTGCCTTACACTGCTAAATTAGGGACAGCTAACGCAGATAGCCCTCGTGTAGCTTTGCGCGAAATTCAAAACAAACAAACAAATTCTATGAATAACCAACGATCATTACTTCCGTTAAAATTTTAATTTACTTCCCTATTTATTTGTTCAATTTTTACATGTCCATGGAATGGACACAACATCTATAAACTTTCAGTATAGCCATATCCCTGATAGCTATAACTTTAACAAGAATTAAAACCACAAACACAAATTTATAAAACTTAATCCTTACTTTGACCTACAGATAGATAAGTGTATAAATCTGCCAAAGTAGGAATTAAATTTTATAAATTTGTGAATGTGGTTTTAATTCTTTTTTCATTACTTTTTTGTAGTAGGATCTCTACTTCAGTTTATAGTTCATAATTTTTAATATTCTTGTTAGTTTACTTTTTATGTTATACCTGTTGAAAGGATATACTTTACCTTTAGAAACTGTCGCGTGTCTATCCATCGATATGCAGCGCCATCCGTTGGGTTGAAAATATATTTAAATACGTGCATGATATGTTTACCATTTATTTTATACCCCTCTCTCTCTATATATATATATATTGGAATGTCAAAAGCGAATACCCACAGACCAGTCAACTAAGCCAGAGAAATCTTGTAGCGATATTTCGAGCCGTCTAGGGGCTAGTCCCACTGACGTGAACATGTAGGTAGGTAGGTAGTAGACAAAAAAAGTAGTTGCTTTTTAGAAATATTTGAATTGTTATACTGGAAATGTTAGCGACCTTTTTAGCGTATTATTAGTATACATGCGCATAATATATCATAACCAATACTTTGAATGGTCGGTTTTCGACGAGTTAATTATCTGGAATCCTTGTCGATTCTTACTATTGAGTACTACCGTACTTGAAATACAGCAAGTACAAGGTTTTTCAGAGTTTGTTACACACTTTAATTTAAACACACCATCTTTTTGGTTTCCATTGTAACCGATCCATTCCTCCAGTAGCACAGCGGTAAGTCTGCGGACTCATAACGCTAAAAACCAGGTTTCGATACCTGTGGTGGGCACAGCAAAGATAGCCCATTGTGTAGCTTTGTGGTTAACTACAAACAGACCATTGTACTATTTTTATTTAAACCACTGTTGCGTGTTTTTGAAAATTCCTGAAAATTTAGCGTCGTAGCTTAATGTTTGTTTTGTCCAGCCAAGCAAAGCATAAAAACAGAAAGGTAATAAAAGGAAGTCAGTTTGTGTTGAATACATTAGCTATGTCTGTGTTGGGACAGTGGGTAAAATGTTTCAGTGATAACTTTTATACTGGATAGACGATATGCATTCTTCTAAAGTAATAAAGTCAGTTAACGCTGCTTTTCTGCATTCCCTCTGTTTTAGTGAAAGGTACAATAATGATTATTATTTTCCTTACACTGTTCCTTTATTTGTTAAGATTAAGACATTCATTACTTTGAAACCGTGTGTTGCTATCGTTCCTGTGTTACACATCAAACTTTTCTGTTCTTTTCTGCATTCCCTCTGTTTTAGTGAAAGGTACAATAATGATTATTATTTTCCTTACTTACACTGTTCCTTTATTTGTTAAGATTAAGACATTCATTACTTTGAAACCGTGTGTTGCTATCGTTCTTGTGTTACACATCCAACTTTTCTGTTCTTTTCTGCATTCCTTCTGTTTTAGTGAAAGGTACAATAATGATTATTATTTTCCTTACTTACACTGTTCCTTTATTTGTTAAGATTAAGACATTTCATTACTTTGAAACCGTGTGTTGCTATCGTTCCTGTGTTACACATCAAACTGTCTCCCGGTAAGTCTACGGGCTCACAATGCTAAAATTCAATTTCCCGCGGTGAACACGGCAGACAGTCCATTATAGTTTTGCTCTAAAACAAACAAAACATCAAACTAAACGATACGACAGCTGCTTTGAATAACTGGCACAAAGAGCGTTGTTAAAACTAAGATATTTCATTAGTTTATCGGCCTGGCATGGCTAGGTGGTTAGGGCGCTCGACTCGCAATCTGAGGGTCGCAA